TGTCTGGTACATATTGTTTCAATCTGTTTTTCCATTTTTTGTTATGCCAAATATAGTGGTACCTCAGGTTACATATGCTTCAGGTTACATACGCTTCAGGTTAAAGACTCTGCTAACCCAGAAATAGTGCTTCAGGTTAAGAACTTTGCTTCAGGATGAGAACAGAAATCGTGCTCCAGCAGCGCGGCAGCAGTAGGAGGCCCCATTAGCTAAAGTGGTGCTTCAGGTTAAGAACAGTTTCAGGTTAAGTACGGACCTCTGTAACAAATTAAGTACTTAACCCGAGGTACCACTGTATTTTTCCAAACCCTTCAGAAGCAGATGATACTGGTTCAGTTGAAGCAATCCTCCAAATCGTTTGGAGGAATAGCTTTGACCCATGGGCAGCTCCTTCTTGCTGCCCTGTTATTTATACATTGCTTCACTTTCAGTTCTAAGTTTTACTTCAACCATGATTTGGCATGTTTTTCAAACCGCTGTATGAGAATGGGGCAAAGAGAAGGAGGAAGATGCCTGCAATTCATTTCAGTGGTTGGAGCTTTATCTAACATTGAGCTCAGATGACTTTAGCTGCCAGTAACACATTTCCAAATAGCAACCTTTCTATTAACTTAAAAGAACAGTTTATTACATGTTTGTTTGTTTTCTTTTTAATTTACAAACTCATGTTTTCAGCATGCCCTAGGGATTTCCTGATGTGTGCAGAAACCACTACCTTGTCTATGGGTGGCCATATTTCAGCGTCAAGTTCGGTATTAAAAGGAATGATAGTTTGCACAGTCAACCAAGTTAAACACATTTAAGTGCCATTTATTTTAATAGGAAAGGTAAACATACCCTTTAGTCTATTCCATTGAAAATAGTGAATAATAAAAGGTCCTTAACTTTGGCTGGATTGTTCACAGTGTTTGTTTAGATAGCGGTATCTAGGACTGTTTTAAAAGGCTTGTTATATCGATCAACTTGCAACCACTTTACTTGAGCAAATATGTGTGTTTTTATTAATATTTATTAACAATTTGCCTCGCCTTATCTTGAGGGCTCAGGATGAGTCGAATGAAAATAGGTAGAAAGTATTTTTAAAGGCTCTGTTAAGTAACTGTGCTGGCATCTCCCTCAGCCAATTATTGTATGTGACTGGGTAGCGGATACAAATGATGTGTGTAAATTTAAGAAAGCTAATTGCTTACATAGATTTAAATTTTATTCAGCAGCATGGTGGACTGGCTTGACCTGCACTGAATAAAAGGCATTTGTTATTAAGCCTTGGGATTTTGAAATGTACTTTCAGATCAACTCCCTATTCTATTAATACTATATATAACTGGTGGAAATAGTTGAAATGTGTAGGAGAAATACAGTGTAGTAATAATTGAATCAATGCACTATTTCAGTCAGTCAGTCAGTCATTCCAGCTCTGCATTGCATTGGTATCTCCTGACAGATGCCACTGCATACCCAGTTTGAATGTTGGGTGTTAGTTTTGTTTTATCTTTGAAAGGTTTAGGCCTTCTTTCTTTTTTAAATATTTTGTCAGTATGTTTGTTTTCAAACAAATCACTACCTTACATATCTTAGAAATTTGCTTTCTTAGGATATTATGCTAATTATCAGATTCTTCCAACCAGTGCAAAATTTCCCACATCTGGATCACACAATACCCTGATTAAGAGCCAGTGTTTACTCAAAAAACACTGTCTCTATTTTTTTAGGGTAGTTATGTTCCATTAACAATTGTTTTATTACTGTTTGGTGTGAGCAACCTTTTGCTATGGCAAATATGAGGCAGGATATGCATGTTTTAATTTAAAAAGTAGTAATAAACCACATTTGGAGTCTGAATTTGGAGTCAGAGTGACCAGGATATCCTTTATTTGAAACTTTTTCCCTAGCTATTTGAAATCTTCAGGTTGTTTTTTTAAAAAAATCACCATGATAAAACAGAATGCCAATATGAGGAATATTGAAAATAAATAGTTGGGAGTTTTCCAGAATGACTGCCCAGCCTGCAAACTGGCAAGTTCAAATAGCAAACGTTTTGCTTCCCTTGAAAAATATGGCACAGACTTTGGAGTCGGACTAGAAATGTAAATGGGAAGAATGGATGCTATCCTCTTGTAAATGCATCCTGAGGAGAGAAAAACAAACATTATGGCGTCAAAAGTGGTTTGAATTCATAGATTATGTGCTTTGTTGCAGGAATGCCAGCTTGCTTTGCAACATAATTCCCTTCACACTCTTTTTACTGATTTAAGTGATCTTCACATGGTTACAAGGGAGCGGAACTGCGCTGCTGGCCCCTTCCCTGATCTCCACACAGTAGATGTGGGTATTTGGAAGGGGAAAGGCTTTTCAAATCGACCTATGTGTGTATGGGTTTTCATCCAACAGACATCCACTCCAGGCATGCGGATATTGGAGGGGGAGGGGTTCCGGAAATCAAATTATGTCAGGTGCAGCGTTAGAAACTAATCACCAAATGGCACCTTAAACATAGGTTACGGTCACCACAACGGAATGTCCAAGTGCCGTTTTTCCCCAGTGGGACTTATTGTTATTGTTCATTTCGTTTCTATGCCACTTTATATTTATAAAAAAAATCGAAAAGTTGTTTACATTAAAACAGGAGCAGGCAACCTAAGGCCCATGGGCCACAAGCAGCCCACGGGGATCGTTTAACCGGCCCACAAGCTGCCCCCAAATCGAGCCGCCCACTCGGCGAGTCCCCGCCCGCTGTGCTAAACTGGTGGGGTGTGGGGACTCACTTTCGCGGTGCTAAAAATAGTGTCTTTGATGCTCAGACGCCGAAAACCGCGTCTGCGCAGACACAGATGCTGGAAATCGTGTCTGCGCAGATGCTGGAAATCGCGGCCGCACACACGCGATCTGGCCCGTGGAGGGATCTCTGCTAGAGGGAACCGTCCCAGGCGAGGTAAATCTTGCCGACCCCTCCATTAAAACATCAAATAAAACACCATAATGACACTTTCTGAGTACCAGAGGAGCTTTGGGATTGGCCTCGAAAGCTTTAGTCACGAAAGAAAATAGATAAAATAACTTTGTCTAAGTATAGCCTAATGACTCTAAATGTTGATGATAAAAAAATGCTTTCCGAATTGTCTCAGCAGCAGAAGCTACTTTTTAATTGTTCTGTGTTTACATATCACTTTGGTTGGGAGAACCACCTTTTATTATTCTGCTGGCAGTGTACACATTATTGTTTGCCAATACAAGTATCCATTAAAAAGCCTCAATGTGCTAAAAGAATTGTTGATGCTTTCTTGAGTTAAAAATGAATTATAAACAAAAATTGTAAATCAGCTATGAGCAAATTAAGAGTCTTGGTTTGGGATACTGTATTAATTTTACATTTGGTTTGAATACATGGAAAAAAACCTATCATTAGCTGATTTATGCATGCCTGCAAGATCCTGGTTGCCACTTAAAATCGCTTCTGTGTATTTGAGTCTCTACACTGCTGCAGAAACATTTTGAATCAGCTTCCCATTTAGTTTGGTCAAATTGGTGGGAAGTATGCATGTCATTGTTGTGTTTCTGACTCTGAGGGCCTTATGTTGCAAATCCTTGTGAATAAGCAGATTGAATTGTACACATTCCATGAGTCCTAACTCCATGGAAGTTGTTTTTCGCAGCAATCATACCACCACTGGGCATCTTTGAATCAGTTCCATGTTTTGGTTGCTGTTTCAGTAGTACGTTTAGTTTAAAATCAGATGGGAGCTTTGATGTTTCAAAAAGTACAGTGTGAGAACAAATCTCAAAGGCTTAAAAACATGGTGATTTATTAAACAGAGCTATAAAATGCATACCGATACGACACCTTGTTGTGCTCTTTGCCTGAAACTACACTGCATACTTAGACATCTATAATCTAAATAGAGCATTAGATCAAGGATCAGTGAACAATCAGTTAATACCAAAATCATTGTATGTTTCTCTTGTCCCAGCATGCCTTCTGTTGTTGTATTATATTGTATTTACTACCTAAGAGAGAAGTATTGATTCAGTGAGTTGAATTAGCACCTCTCAGCCTACTGGGGCATACAGGGTGAGGAGTTGGAGGGGCATCAGAACTCTAAGATGTTCCTGGTTGCTACTTTAGAAGTCATGTTGGCAGTGCTGTTCATCTGAAAATCGAGTCAGTGATATCATTGAACTTCAAGATTATACATAGGCTTAGTCACACCTCCTTAGATAAAATCCTTTCAGGCCAACCCTTTTTGGCATTAGAGTGGGGGACTTATGGGAGCAGCCAGTAAAAAAAAAGTTTCAAAAATTATTATTATTATTATTATTATTATTTAAAAATTAAATGGAAATAAATGATTGGGGGAACCCTTCCTTCAGCATCACAGCAGGTGACTTTCTTAAATCAAATACTGGGGGGCAGATGCAGGCCACAGGTTGTCCACCCACTGATATAAGGAGTATGTAATTAAATATGTATAATCTGATTAATGATGTCCAGAATTAATTTTTAATAATGATAAAAGTGATATTTGTTTCAAAGCAGAGAATATATCATATTGGACAAATATTATAGGTCACCAGTGGTAGAGACTCTGATAAGTACAGTGAGTCTTTTTGTCATTGTGTTTAATGCTTTATTTTCTGTAAACTATTGCCATCCAGGTTTGGGTGGATGCATAGCTGTCAACCTTCCCTTTTTTTTGTGGGAAATTCCCTTATTCCAGCGCTGTTTCCCGCTGCTTCCCACTGCTATCCCGGATTGTTAGATATCCCGTTGACTGTCCCTGGGACAAGTGAGGCTGCTGATCCCTTATTTTCGAGGCTGCTGATCCCTTATTTTCAAATCTGAAAGTTGACAGCTATGGGTGGATGAGTAAGGTTTCATTTTGCCCAGGAATATCATGGTAGCATTAAGGTGCTTTTAAAAATAAATGGATTTTGTTTATATGAAGAAATATATGACAGAGATCTCCCATGTTATTTGGAAACTTATTGATGGATTGATTAATTGAGCAGCAGTCCTATGCTTGCTTATTTTGGAGTAAATTGTATGTATCCAGTGAAATTTACTGCAGAATAAGCAAGCATAAGATTGCCGCTCAAGAATGGCAGAATTGAGCTGTTTGTAACTAATTAGCAGTTAACGTAAGAATATGAGAGTACCACTTCCAAAATTAGAAGAAAGGGCAAAAATTTTAAATGTTAATTTGGTGACTCACATATGTTTATATATGGAAAAATATTCTAAATTGAGTCTTCCAACTCATTTTGAATATTCACATTTTTAAGAAATGCCATTTTCTGCTTTTGTGTATAACTGAGTTTTCATCCAGTATGATGACAAATCAGATTGCATTTCCTAGAACACATAAGAAACTAAGAGCCTGATAGATATTTAAAAGGTGTGCTCACTCTGCATTTTGATAATATTCCCTCCAAAGTAAAATACAGAGAGAAAACCTAGAGTACTATAGTACCATTTAGTTTTCGGGTTCAATTCAAAATGCTTTCCTGGGGAATAAGTCCCGTTGACCTCAGTGAGACTTACTTGAGAGTAATATATAGGATTGTAATGTAAAAGAGGCTGAAAATGCTGTTCTTTCTTTGACTTGTAATAAAGATTATATGGGATTTTAATTAAATGAATGGAATTAATAAACTTTGTAAGAATTTTTGTTCTGACTGCCTAACTTTACTAACATTATTTGTGCACACAAAACTATTTACAAGACAGTAAGTTTTGGAGCTGGGAACTGATTAAAGCTTTGAGCTTATTAATTATGCTTAAATATTTAATTAATTTAAACTCCCATTTTCAGTATGTATCCTGGCTTGAACCCCAAGAGCCACCATCAGTTTTCTTCCAGGATCTCCTACCACTCTTCCACTGCCATCCCTTCATCTCTCTCTCCTCCGCCCTCCAAGCAAGTCCAGAAGGGTGGGCATTCCTCCAGAACAGCATTTGGTGCAGCATGGGGAATAGATTGACTAGATTGGTTTGTCTGGTGGATATGAAGCTTGCTTACAGAGCAGGAAGTAGGATGTGCTTGCCCTTTTCTATGCCTTGTCAAGGGAGAATGTAAAATTCACCATTGCAAACTTCATAAAATAATGTCGCAGACTGAAATGTGTAACAACCCCCCCCCCCCAATAACTTTACTTAACATTCTCCAAATTTTACTGTAGCTAAACTCAGATTAAGCACAGCTTTGGACTTCAATCCGTTGACATTCCCTCGAATTCATGGACCTTCCCTCCATTCATCAAATTGGCTTCTACTGTTAGATAAATTTGCATATGCTCCTTTAGGGGAAGGGCAAAGCTCAGTAGTGTATCATATGCAGGGCAGGCCTAGGTGTGGCCCTCAGGGTCTTTTTGGCAGCCCTCAGCAACTTTTGATGCCTCCCCCCCCCCAAGCCCTCACTGCTTTCCCAAAGCTGGATAAGGAGGTGCTGGACTTTGGGAAGGAGCTGTGGGGGTTCTGACAGGGTCCTAGAGTCCTCCTTTCTCCTTACCAAAGCCTTGTTAGCACTTTCCTAGCTTTGAGAAGGAGGCGGGAGAGCTAGGACCATGCCAGAGCCTTGAGCCTCCTTTCCAAAGCCTAGCGTGCATCGCTTAGCTGGCTTTCAAAAGGCAGCACCAAGGCCCGAAGGGGAGGATCAAATTTTGGCCTCACTTCCCTGCCCTACATGACAAGGCAGTGTTCAGCCCATGGTTTCTGTGTCAAAGTACTCTGTGGCCCACTTGGTATGAAAAGTTGGGCCACCCTGCTCAATCGAAATGATCTCAAATGGAAGGAAATTAGAATGACCTCTTCCTTAGGTATTGGGCTAGTTGAACAATTGGTCTGAATGTACAATTCCATATCTCTTACTTATGTATCACATTTCTAGGCTGCACTTCCTTTCAAGTTGCATACATTGGGTTGGCCCACTTTTCCTCACAACAGTCCTTTTGATGTCAATTATGGAGATGGGATTCCAGTATACACTTCCACTGCAGCACACTATAGCTTTTATTTGTTGCAATAGACGGTGATGGCCAGAAACCAGCTTGGCAAAAATTAAAACAAATTAATGGAGAATAGGTTTGTCTTTGAGCTATTGGACAGATAGATAAATGTACAGAGGCTGAACACCTCCAGTTACTACATGCTGGGGATAAACAAGGGATTACCATTAACATCATACCCTGCTTGTGAGCTGTCTACAGGCATTTATTTTATTGACTACAGATGGAATAGTAGATTAGGGAGACCTTTGGGCTGATCCAATGAAGCTGTTCTTAAGTACCTTATTAGAAATAAACACAAATGGTTTACTTGAGTGCCATTACCAATGTGTATGATTTCACACAGTGTATCTATGTTTAAATTCTGTATCTATAATTATATACTTTGATAAATCCATCCACATGCTTAAAAAATAGGATGAAGTTGCAAATAAATCTACTTGCTGAAAGAGGAATGTAAAAGGACATGAAAATGAGCCCCTGTTCACAGGCTTATGGAGTAACAAAGGACAGTTGTGTGTTTTGTTTATGAAGGTGTATTACGTACAGAAATAATTTGTTTCATCAGACGCTTGCAGTGGCATGGCATGGCAGTATTCTGCTAGGAGTTGATTACGTCATACCAGTCTCTTGGACCTACACAAATACATCCTGAGGAGGAAAGCGAGAACACTGTTTACTGACTCTCCAGGCTAATGTTTGATACATCAAATCACTTTTCTTAAAAGCTCATAGTACAATTCATCAAGTTGTTGATGTGATGAGATGTAATGGAAACAAAATGACCTTGCGAAGAATATGTAGAATATTTAGAAAATTAGGGAAAGGGCTACTTCTGTCAGTAGTGATAGCTTTCACTAATTAGCAAGGGTAATTGCATGATTATTGCACACCTAGAAATTATTCTAGAAAAAAGGCCTGCTGGGGGTAGAGATAATCTTCTCCCAAGGGTTGCCCTCTTAATTAAGTGTACACTAAAGCAGGTGTACACAGAGACTTTGAACATCGTGTTAAGCAGGTCCCTTGACTTCCAACTTGGCTATTCCTAAATGAGTTTTAATGAGTGTTATGTCTCAGGTTGTGTGCTAATGAAGCTTTTGTTGTAAGTTGTACTGAAAAATTAAGGGAGAGAGATTTATTTGCATATTACAACCCTCTTTGTTTGTCTTTGTTGCTAGCTCAGTAGATGGGACAGTAAGCTGCTGTGTCTCCATAGCAAAATACTGTAAACTCCTTTGAACAAACCTGTACATGCAGCATTGAAAGGTGGCTGTGTTGAAGCCATAGGGGACATTTCCTGTCTTCTAAACAAAAGCATGATTATCATGGGAATCTGCTTGTTTGTTTGAAATATGAGTGTGTGGATATTTATTTTAGATTGTGTTTAATGCGGTGAAATATTTTAAAAGAGCAAAACATCCAAATCAAATATGACAAGGGATGCAGCAAATAGACTCTGAACTACACATTTAGCATTGACATTTGATTATATTAAGCGTTCTTCTTGGGAGAATGGCTATGGAGAAATTATGCCCTGTTCTTCCATGGTCTGTTTGTTACTTTAATTTGGAGGAAGAACATGTAAGACAGTGCAGGGCCTTAATAAAACTCTGGGAAGAACTATACAGTACTCAGGACATAATTATTGCATACTCTTGTTGTACGCCGAGGATGTTTATGAGCAATACTAAAGCATCTGCTCTGAGCTGCAAAAAGTCTAAATTAGGAAATGTGAGAGTTTACCAAGTCCAGCATTTTTCAGAGTTATGACTAACATAGTAGGAGAGAGAAGACACAGTCCACATAGTTTGAGGCGGATTGCTGCTTAAAGTTAAAATCAGTTTGCACACTTCTAAGAGGATGTCCTGTTGAACTGAGTGAAATGAGACTTCTGAGTAAAGTGACTGTACTTTCAACCTTGTTGTTTATTAATGCAGCCGTGAATCCTTTAACAAGTAGTTCTTCTATCCTAATGTCTGAGGTTTACCTATTGTCAAAAATAACACTGTTGAATGGGCATGTTTCCTGAACTGCCATTTTTTTGTTCCAAGGGCAGGCTCCTTTTCATACTGAGCTGGAAAAAAGTGTGGCTTTTACTATCTTGTGGGGCCAGTTGGATCAGCTCTACCCATTTCTTTTCTGTTCGGACATTATTCTTTTGTGATGGTCCTTGGCTAAACAAACTGATTAATTATACATTGGTAACCTTTCTGTGCTTAAAGCTCACAGCTCAAGCCCAACCGTTTATTTAGCTCACCTCTTCCTAGGTGTTTAACCTATGTTCCCCATCCAGCATGGTCCTTCTAAAAAACAAAAACAATTATTTTTCCTTCTGAAACACTTGCCTACTCAACACTTCTCAACCTCCTGGTTCCCGCCCAGGACTCTACCCTTCCACCTTGTCTCTCACCCAGGGCGCAAACAAACTAACAAATCACCTCCTCAAATCTCACAACAAAGAGAGTTCATGGAACCTGCTGACCATAGTCTCTCTAGGCTTGCTTTTATGGGCTTTTTGTAGTTGAAGAAAACATTAGCTATCTTATGTTCACCTGAGGAAAATCCACTTTTTAGAAGTTCTTTTATCAATTTAAATTTCACCTGTGGTGTGAAAGGACAGTCATAGTTAAAAAGAGAAAAAGCCACAGCAGTGTTTCTTAAAGGATTTTCCAAAGTGGTTTAGATTTCAGTCTGCTCTCTGATCATATACCAAAGGACTACTGATCAAACATGTTTGATTATGTTCAACACAGAATAAATCAAAACAACAAAGCATTGTTAAAAGGGATGTGATTTTAAAATGGTCCAGAGTTAGAGAATTTGCCTCCAGTCAGACACAAACACACACCTAAGTCAGAATTTTAATAGTGTGAAATGTCTTTTGTTAACATAGGTATGCAAGCATTTGAACCTTTCCAAGTGATGGTCTCCTCTTCTGAGTCAAATATTTTATTCTGTTTTTAAAATCAATAAATGTTTACTTTCTAGTGAATTGATTAATTTTCCATAGAATTCTGACACTTGGATAAACTAATATGAGCACATCCTTTCAAACCATTTTAATTTTTTAAAAAGTCTAGCAACATCTGTG